ATTTAAATACTTAAGAGTACTTGCAGAAAAAAAAAAACAAAAAACAAAAACCAAAAAAACAGAAAACAACAAAGCAGCAGTTATGGGAAAGATGAAAGCTAGAACAGTACTGATGCTAATGAGTTAAGACCATCAGTGCAAATTCTCTGTTGGCCACATCTGTAGCACAATGAAGCTCAATTTGCTGAATGTTCCAAAAATAAAATGACAAATTAAGCAGAATCATCAAGTACAAGAACAGCTTCTGTGTTTCCTACTGAGAATCATATAGTACTGTGGAATACATGTAAATGCACATTGCATGTCACAGAGCCATTTTTGCTCCATAAAAATGCACCTATCTAAAATCTTGCTGGCATAAATGAAACATTTAAAGCATATCAGCAAAAGTAACAGGAAAATAAAATACATTGTGGATGCTGATTCTACTGAGTAACCTCACAAACTACTTGATGAACCAAAAATAAACAATATCTGCATAGATGTGTGACAAATGACAAAGATTTGTGGAGTGGTACCAATGAGATACTAGATAAAATAAAGTCATACGTTGTATTTATACTAATAGCAAGATCAGAGAAAATAATAAATGTCCCACTTACTGGCAGATAGTATAATGCCTTGAAACTGAGAGTGCTTCTGAGAAGACCTGTTTATAAGAAGAGACCAACTGAATGCATATATCTAACTGAAGTTGCCCCTAAAATTTTACAAGAATATAATTTTCACACAAACTAGAATGCTGGCATTAAAGACTGTTCTGCTTATCACATAATCACCAAGGTTGGAAAAGACCTGTAAGACCATCCTGTCCAACCATCCATCTATCACCAACATTTCCCACTATACCATGTCCCTCAATACAACATATAAATTCATCTTTAACTACGTAAGGGACGGTGACTCCACTACCTCCCTGGGCAGTCTGTTCCAGCACAACTCCACTCATTCAGAGAATTTATTTCTAACGTCCAACTTGAATCTCCCCAGTACAACTTGAGGCCATTCCCTTTCATCCTATTGCTAGTTATAAGGGAGAAGTGGCTGACACCCATCTCAGCATCACTTCTCTTCGGGTAGTCATACAGAGCAATAAGGTCACCCCTGAGCCTCCTTTTCTACAGAGGAAATAATCCCAGTATCCTCAGCTGCTCCTCAAAAGGCTTGTGTTCCAGACCCCTCGCCAGCTTCATTGCTCTTCTCTTGAAAACACTTCAGGGCTTCAACATCTTTTTCCTAGCGAGGGGCCCAAAACTGAACACAGTACTCGAGGTGCAGCCTCACCAGGGCCAAGTATAGAGGGATGATCACCTCCCTGCTCTTGCTGGCAACACTACTTCTGATACACGCCAGGATGCTATTGGCCTTCTTGGCCACCTGGGCACACTGCTGGCTCACGTTGAGCCAAGCATCAGCCAACATCCACAGGTCCATTCCCTATACACAGTCTTCCATCCACTCATCCCAAACCAGTAGCACTGCCTAGGGCTTCAGCTAAAGTGCAGGACTTAGCACTGGGTCTTGCTGAAATTCATCCCACTAGCCTCAGCCCATGGATCCAGCCTGTCCAGTTCTTTCTGTAGGGCCTTCCTACCCCCAGGCAGATTGATACTTCCTGCCAGCTTGGTGTCATCTGCAAACTTACTGAGGATGAACTTAGTCCCATTGTATAGGTCATCAGTAAAGACAACGAACAGGAAAGGCCCCAATACAGACACATGGGGAATACCACTTGTGACTGATCACCAGCTGAATTTAACCCCATCTATCACCACCCTCTGAAGAAGCAAAATTTTTTCTGATATGTTCTCAGCAATACCAGGTAATGCATTCACAGGTAGGCAAAGAGTCACATACAGAAAGAATGAAATTCACCCAGCTAGCAAAGGTACTCTAGCTATGCAGCAGTCCTTCACAGGAAGCAGCCTAAGTCAAAGAAATAACTTCTCTCTGGTGGCTGGTCCTTACATGAACCCAAGGTCCATCCTGGGTCCACTCCTTTTGGTCACATGGGGGACTTTTCACTAGGAGCTCAATCACCAGTTCAAGCTGTGACCTAACAGTACCCCAACATAGTCACAGAATAACTTTTGAGAATATCACAGAAGTACCTGGCCATAATTTCTGTTCATTATTTAATATTTATGTAAGAAATCAGGAACGAAAATGAAACAAGCTTCATAAATATGTCTTGGTGAGAAAAATATTACTTACAATGATGGAGAGAAAATTTAGTCTAATTAGTTAATCAACTAGAAAGTGAAGAAGTAATGGACTTTGCAAATCCACGATTGTTTCTCTAACAGAAGTCTCTAAACTGATAAAAAGCAGATATCAGCCTTAGCAACTTGAAACTATTAACATTTGGTCAAATTCCAGCTGGGAAAAGGGCTTCTATCTTAAGGATCTTATGAAGTCCATATCAAGAAAAATGATTTCATTAATTATCTTAAAGAAGTGTACTACTACACTTGTGTAGTAATGCCACTCATAGTTTTGTGGAGTGAGTGACATCTCTGCTATGGCAAAATGAGGACACATGCCCCTTCCAATACTCTTAAAAACAGAGTTGGAGAAGTAGGATATTGGAAGAATTTCTAAAGACCTCAAATATAGCAAGAAGCTGTATAAATGTTAAGCCAGTGTAGGTTATGAATCACAAAGCAATGTGTTGTTTGTTTGTTTTTCTTGGGAGTGACACAACTAATCATGTCAGTAACCATATCTTGCAATTGTTTTCTTGATTAGCTGCCACATCAAACTCTCAATAAGGCAAATACCACACTTAAAACTACAGGAATTATGCTGAATAAAAATGTTATATACAGCCCTTGACAAAGGTTTGGTTACATAGTCTCCAAAACAGGTCAGTAATTTGTCACATAAGCCCTTCTATGGAACACCAACCTCTTTATTGTGGTTCACTGCACATACAGCCCTTGGGAGTCCAATACTAATAGTGTGCAGACAATGCTAAGGCACACAATCCAAACTACCTTATTATAGATCTACTTTGAAGAAACGCTTACATATTTAGAGCGAAAAAATCATTACATGTAGAAAAACAAAAATCTATAACAGGAATCCAAAAGCCAAAGGGGTGTTTTCAAGTAATACTATCAACATTATCTTTAAGAAGCAGCCCAGAAAACCATACATCTGACAGATTACATCAGATGCAGTTGATTGCAAGGCTGTATAAATGGATGTCATTACACGAACACTATTAGTGGTAAAGGCTCTGTGTGAAAGAACCGCATATTTGCATGGGAACATTATTTAAAACTAAGCATATGGCAGGCCTCCAATTTTACATCTTTATATCATCTGCAGTAGACTCCAGATGTAAATGACAGCAATGCCTGAGGTCTCAAGCTTTTTAAGTTGGTAAATGCTCTGGGGAATTTCTACTATTTTTTTTTTTTTTTTTTTTAATTTGTGGGAAGCTAAGGATACCTAGTGCCTTGTTGGGATCCTTGATACAATTTTCACTCTATAAAGCCTTGAGAATGTGTGGCAGAGTAAAGATGAAATGAATTAAAACAAGTAGACAATATTTTCCTTATGGATGAACTAATAAAGTCATAGAAATCATAACATAAAGTCAACTTGCTGGCAATTACAAAAGTACCTATTCTGTTCAATATGTCTGTAAGGGAACTGTTATGTTACAGCCTGAAGTGATGATTGAGCACCTGATGAAGGGCGGGGAGCTGGAAGCACAGATGCAAGCAATGTACCAGAATTGCAATTGACCAAAAGGAGTTGACCTAGGTTTCTATTCCTCCCTGTGTTCATTTATGAGCTAGCCTCTGAAAAGAGGATCTCTTTTGTATGAAGGCTGCTTCTTGAGAAGAAGGAGTTTGTAGTTAGATACTCTATCATCAGTTTGGTGAGTCAATCTTTTCCAGTATGTATTTATTGATATTCCTAATGGTACTTTGTCTGTTATTGCAAAGAATTTATCAGAAGAAAATGTACTTCTTCCAAAATGTTTCTTCCAAGAGCTGATTATATCTTAGGTAAGTTACCCCCAGATCTCCAGCATTTTATTGGTTGGAAACCTGTTTCAAATTGATAAATATAAGATCAGTTTGCTTTTCAACTCTTTAAATCTTAGCTATGTTTCCTATACGTAACTCTAATGTAGTCTGGGGGGGGGGGGGAAAGAAATGTCACATTCAAAATTCCTGTTCAGACACTTTAAACGTTCAATGGATGTACAAATTCTGTATGAAGTCTTAAGTCTTCAGCTTAACACTAGGTTTAGAAACATCTTACCCTGGGTTAAAAAAAGGAAAACATACTGTTGTGAGATCATAAAGACTGAGTACAGATTTGTTGCTCACTTCTACGTGCTATATAGGACACTATTTTTCTCAAAATTTAGGTGAAATCAGATAAGACTTCTCACACACTCTTTATTTTTTGTCATAGAATACCATAGATCTAAAATAGCCAGTGTGGAGACGTTCTGCCTTGACAGTATTCTGTGATCAGATGTACTATTATTACTTGTTTTCTTCACAAAATAACGTTTAGCAAAATCAGGTAAACAAGCAATGGGTCAGAGAAGGCCAGAAAAAAATTGCTCCATTTCAAATAGACTTCAGTAGCTGCAAGGGAAGACTTATCAAAGCATTCTTATAAAATTCTGAAAATTTAGTAAGTCTGAAGTTTAGGTTACAAGAAAACCCTGCAGCCTGGAATAGAATGGAAGGAAATACCAAACAGTGAAAAGAAGTGGTATTCCATTTTGAGTTTTTATTTCCAAAATATAATTGTCCTTTATAGTGAAGTTAAGAAAAAACCAAAACAACCAAACAAGGTGGAATTGCATCAATTTTGGCTAGTTCAGAGTTTAAAAGAGCATATAGACCCATAACTGATTTATGTGCTCAGATATGTTTATCTAAACTAATTTCACATTCTTCATTTATTTTCAGTGTTGCTTGTTGTCCCAGTTTCTTTTTTTGCATACTGGCTTGGAAGTAGATCAAGTAGAACTGAAATGAAGCAAGTTTAAAACCATGCGGATCAATGCCCAAATGGAGGAAAAGAAAAGAAAGATCTGGTAGGGTTTTTTTTACCAGTTTGCACCAGAAAAGTCATTGGCTTTTGGGAATAACTGTGTTGACTGTGGCATAAAGACTTCATTTTAAAACTAAGCTGGTCAAACAGCCTGTTGTAAAATGGAAAGTTCTGCTCCCCTCCGTGCTCCTTTCCCTTGCTTTGAGAACTGAATGAGCAGGAACCAGTTCATGGAACTGAACTGGAAACCCACAGAAAACAGTTTTCAACTCGTTAGGTTCCTCAGATTGGTTTACTATAGGGTATGATGACACCCAGAGTCTCATTTTTGCATAGAGTGCAAAAAACCATGAATGCAGAATAAGCAGTACAGGCACCCATTTTGGTCCAACTGGTCACTAGTCAGGATTATCTAAGGAAACCTCTTTTCATAATGTCATTGTAAAAAATAAATCAATAAAATAACTTGGCAGCGTGCCCTCCAGCAGCATTTGCAGAAGATATCATCACCTCCTCTAAAATACCCTGGTGTTATTCAATGTGTTATATGAGCAGATCTGATGTTTCTACAGTTGCAAACATTTTTTTTATTTTACTGCATCTTTGTTTCTCCAGCTCTATGCATCATGTTATAGAATATCTGAGAGTAAAATGGGGTGTCAAAATCAAAACTTCTTGAATCAGCACCATGATCATCAGTGAATAATCCAAAGAACACTCAGTACTACTGAAAATCAGATTCCCCAAACACAAATAGCTATTACCTACTTTTTAAGTTTTGCTTGTGGAAGTCTCTTTTCTTGCACAGAGGATCTGGCATGTGGCAAAATGTCTTCCACTATCCTGGCTGAATGTCATTCATTTCTCTTTAGCAGTACCAAAATAATGGAAAAAGTCTCTTGCTTCAGTTTACAGATATTTCTCCCTGATGCTGAAAAAGATTGTGACTGATTTTGGAGAGTGTAACAAACTGATAGGACGGAAATGCACTGAGCTGTTTCAAGATTTTTCTGTGTGACGGTTCACATAAAATAGATGTGATTTTTGGATTTACTTTCATTTAATGTCTCCAACAATTGAAGTCTTACATTAACGTTTGAAATTGCTTCTGCATGTTGTTTCAGTTTGTTTTGCAAAATACCTGATACAGGATATGAAGATATTTCAGATAGCATTGCATGAAAAGGTGTTGTTGAATGTAGGTGCAATTCTTGAGTATCATAAAGCTTTCTCTTTTCTTCCTGCAATCCTTGCCAGCACTCAAAGCCCAGGTAAAAGTGATTTTGAAGTTTTCTCTTGAGAGTGTAACAATCAGAGGAAAAAAAAATAGCCTTGACTCTAATTGAGGGAGATTGAGTCTCTTTGAAGGATCTTCCTATTGCTTGAAGAAGAAAAGAGACAAAAAGTAGAGTAACACCTGTGTGGTTTGCAGTACCTCCAAGGAACTGTGAACAACAAGTGCCACCGGTTCCACTGAAGGGCACAGAGCTGCACTGTCCCCTCACCAAAAGCTTCGTGTCCTCAGAACCCTGCCCCTGCTGAGCCGCGTGCCGAGGGTAACGCAATTCCTCACCCTTACATTGCTCAGGGGTTGCAGGTGTGCTGGTAATGCAGGCTTGGACTGGCCCTGAGGAGGAGAGGTGATGCGGTCTCTGCAGCCTTGTTTTGCTGAGAGCCGCGAGCCTCGCAGAGCTCTGTGGGGCTGCCCTGCAAAGCGGGAAGTCAGCACCTCGCGGAAGTGGCACGAGGCTGCCGTGCCCCGATACCTGACGCCATCTCAGGATCGCACGTGTGGCAGCGTTGCCATGACAACAGGTCCTCACCATAACCTCCCTGAGGCCTCGTCTGCTCCAGGCAGAAAAAGCTGTGAAAAGCAGCCAGTAGTATCCCTGGCTGGGCTTATGGAAGGAGTTTTAATAGACATCCCTGGGCTGAGTGAGACCTGTGTGGTTTGCTGCCTGAATGCAAGCTGATTTGCTCCAGGAGAGGCTGCCGGTGTGCTGGCCAAATGCCCTCTGTAAGCAGAAATGGGAGGAGAAAGGAAAGAAAATCTTTGAGAATTCCTTTGCTGTTTGTGCTCAAGGCAAGTATTTGAGCACTTTCTGCTATACCCAAGCAACATATAGGGGGAAAAAAAAAAAAAAGAGAGAGAGAAAGAAAAGCCAAACTGGGGTGCTTTCAAAATTGTGATGGAGCAGAGAAGTCCTTGTGAGAGCTGGGAGGGGGCAGGTGGCACAACATGGCGTGGCTGTGCTCCAAAGCATGCAGAGATCAGGCTTCTCCAAGCTCCTGCACAACGTGCTTGTCCTCTGATGCTGCCATGCCTGTACTGATGACACAAACTGATTAGATTTGAAGCTAAGATTATGTAGTGACACATCCTGCATTTCCAGAATTTTGTCTGTTTGAATGTCAGGTAATTAAATTACAGTGCATTGCACTGTATCAATTCTAAATCATGTTTCAGTATATTCACCACGTGTATTAGTCCATTTTGCCATTTAACTCTGTTGAGCAGAAGTTTCATATTCCTGTACAACTCTCAAGCAGATAGGGCGAAAATAAACATAATTTTGTTTTAATACAACACAAGAACTTCCTAGCAAGTAAAATCAAAGGTCTTTTACAGTAATCGCTGTGAAGGGTGAGTAGGGTAAAGGTACTTTCACTTCATATACTTTTAGTCCCACTGACATTTTGTGTTGAGGAGACGTGTTAGGCTGGCAGTAGCTTTATTTATTTAGTAACTATCTGATCATCTTGTCTCTCTCCTTGAATCAGCGTACCTAGTAGTATCTAATAAATTGCAACTTCTGTTGGTGAGTTTCACTGATCTATTTTTTGAGACATTCTACATAAGATTTCACAGACTTCACTAGCAGAAGTTGTAAGTTTGTTAAAGGCTACATCTTTTGTAAAAGTAAGCGGAATTGTAATTTTGATTTAGTCTGCTGACAAATCTTAAAGCAAGAAGACCTCTCTTCTCTTTCTCTGTATAATACCTAATTAAGCTGAAATGAAGACATGACATGTCTCATGGCAGATGTTCACCTTCCTTTGTGGTTGCATACATGTAAGGCAGCCAGATGGTCTTGCCTTTTGTGGATGGACAGACCATCCCTTTTGTAATGACTGCAAATTAGCCAAACTTACTTAATTCCTCCCCAAGCTAAAATAGAAGTAAAATAGCTTGTACTGAGCTCTAGTAGTAAAATTAAACCTCAAGTGATCT